GCTGCAATTGACGGCCAGTGATGCGAGATGGTGGGGTTGCGATATTCCAGGTTGCCAATGGTGGACCGCCGGTTACGATATGCAGTGGACAACGAGGTGGACTCAGCGGGCGATGATAATGCGGTATTATGTGCGAGAACGAAGAGACTATCTTGCTACAAGCTGGAGGCAGGTATTTCAAGCAAGCCATCCAGGGCTCCCCGGGTGAAGGGACGAGTTGCCGTCAGTCATCATGACAGCTCACCTCATGTATCTATTCGCCCCATCCATCTCTTTGTGAAGTGAGGTGCTGATAAGAGTCAGATCCCCCATGTACGGTAGACGACGTGCCTCTGTAATTCGCAGACGGCTAGGTACTGGCGACTCAGGGACCGGATAATCTTTCGCCAGGCTTGGTTCCGCCGGCAACCGCGCAACCAGTCCCAAAGAGCTGCTGGGTCGGAGTTAGAGTCCGTCCGTCAAGATGAGGTCGGGACGCCGGGTGGCTGGCGGATGCAGAGGCCTTGGGACGGCTGGTGGTGGGCGAATGGGGTGGGACGATTGCAGTGGGATGACTGGTGTTGCTGGGATGGAGGCGCTCGATGATGGACGGGACTTGGGCCCTTGGGCTAGGACAGCCGGCCGCCGGGAAGCAGCGCCGCTAGAGCAAGCAGTGACAGCGGCCCCGTTTAGAGTCTAGAGGCAGATCCGGCGGCGTCGCCTGGGTACCGCACGCGTGGGAATTCCGAAGCGCGAGGATCAGATTGCAGGGCGACAGAGGATCAAGAGAGTTGCCTTGGATGTTCCGCTTGATGAGGTGCTCTCGGCGAAGGTCCGGGCCTTTCAGGACCGCCAGGCTTACCATTACTAAAGACCCGGTAAAGCCACAAGTGCCTCTGTTGAAAAGGCAAGAGCAAGCGTGGCTGCGGAGACGAGGCAAGAAAGAGCTGGGTCCTGTCGAGGAAGGAAGCAGTGATATTGTCATCGCTCGGGTGCCCCCCTCTTGCCTCAACCACCAACAAAGGGTAACGACTGCCGAAAGATAGCACTCGCAGAGACCGGGCCCGGAAACGCGTTGACCGGACATGAATTAGGAAAAGTATTCGGACGGCCTACCTAGTGTGAGGTAGGATGTCTGTACCTGCCTTGCCTATTGAAGGCTTAGCTGCCTTAGTCACGCCACGGACCGGCTGGCATGCGGGATGGCTTGTTTCCTGATTCATCGGTGCGCCATCTGCACTGCCTAAGGTAGGTAGGAGCAAATGCCCCGCGTGCTTTCCCGGCTTCATTCTTCGCACCTTCCAAGAGCTGCCTGTGCCTCGAGCATTTTCAGAAGGAATGGGGTGAGTTGCGATCAAGGACGAAGGCAGGCGTCGGCCCATAAGGTATGCAATTGTTGCCTGCCTTGCTGGTACGATAATTGTTACTTACACATGAACCTCCCTTACGTCCAATGTCAGGCCTCATCACTATCTGACCGACTGCAAGCGGCCGGACGACGGCTCAGATGATCTAGGAGCCATGGCCCGTCTTTTGTTGGCCAATTAACAAGCCTATCGGAGCTACCGCCGCCCGTCCAAAGCCATAGGGCATTTCAAGCCCTCCGCCACTGTTGCGTGCTCGATCATCAATTACCTCCTAAGGTATGCAGTGCTTCCGCTGGATCGACGCTGCGATGCACCTCAGAACCACCCAAGCGATTTCCCACGTTGTTGTGGCCCGTCTGTTCGTGTACGACCATCTCTGGGGTAAAGAGTCTAGAACCAACCGACGGGATGGCATGAGAGCCGGCGCGTCTGGAGCCGCGAAACGGACCAACACCAAGACGTTAATGCTATTCACAGGCCCGGTAACCGTTACAGGCTGTCGAATCCGCAGAGGCGACAAGCGACCTGCAACGACGTCAATCCGGAGTGCCAAGTCGCGTGATTTTGGGTCTCTATGTCCGTTTACCCTTCACAACCGTCGATGACTATAGATCGAAGAGATTCCGCCCTCGCGACCCAGATGCGATCCGGTCACAGCGTTACACAAAGCCATCCATGGGGGCGCGGCCAAGGGTTCAGTGCCTTATTCGCAGCCGGCAAAACAAGTATTATGTCAAATTGACGAAATACTCTCTCGTGTATCCACCATGCGCCCCTCCAGTCACCACCACCACAGCACCACCGCCCAACCCATGCATAACATTCCAACACGAAGCTGCCACCCCCAGCGCCTCGTCATTTCTCCCGTTCAGCCTTTCCCGCGCCCGCAACGCAATGGTACCGTCAGCTTCATCTCCAATCTCCGGGGTTTGAGATTCAGACTTCCGGAGAGCATCAAAAATAGGGGAGCAATGCGTCATGTTTTCCGGCGAGTTTGATGGATACCTACAGACATGACTCGATGAAGCAGTGCAAGAGGCTCGATTGACTCGGAGCTGGAGTTTGGTATCGCAAGCTGAGGTTGGTCGGAATATCCCATCGGAGTATTTTAGTGTTGCGTCCTACATCGAGGCATCACGACAATGACGTAGCTCTCGCCGGACTGACTCGGGATTCCTCGATTCACTGATCAGGGGAACCATCACGAACCGCCGGGCGGGCGGGGGTTCACCAAGCCCTGGCCTGGCGCTGCGGAGACACTGGCGTCATTGCCTTGAGTTAGAGGGGGAGAGGGAGGGGTGCTGGCGGGTCGCCGCCGCGCGCTCTGAGCTGAGACGAACAACTTTGAAACGGACATACCATCGTCCACAAACGGTCCGCATAGCAACAGACATCACGATGATTGCGCGTTGTCGACCTAAAAAGACCAAAAGAGCAGATGCTGCATCGACGATGGATGTGTCAGAGGCGTCGGCACTGCAGGACATTACAGGACATTGCAGAACATGAACATCACCCAGGGCGGTGTGCTGCAAATCCAACGTCCAACCCACACTGCGAGACAAGGCGCGAGAGTCCAGGATGTTGCAAAACGAGGCAAGGCAAATGAAGCCGCAGTGCCTTCCATGTTTTGCAATGTTCCCGGCCAATGTCACCGTCAAAGTTGGGTTGGGTGACAAACGGGACAGGGGAAGCTTTTGCCAAAACCGCCAACCATGAGCTCCGAGCTTTGGACCCTGAAGTTTAGTGTTGGCAACTGGATGCTTCAGCAGCGGCTGGGGCTGGCTAGGGCCCTTGTACGTAAGCCTCATTCTTCATATTCCGTGGAGCCAACCCCCAACACGGCCATGCAGCAGACGGTGATCAACGGTGATCAGGCACTGATCAGGAGAAACATTTATTTAGCAGAAACGACGGGGAGCGGCAGACGGCGGCAATACGCCCCCAGGAAACCGTTTCCAGGTAACAGGGCGTCAATTGCCCCATCAAACGCGTCTAATCCGTCGCTGCTGGAAGCTTGTCTCAACCCGTGACGGGAGTGGCATGTGAAATGGCACACGATAGAGTACACGACGAAGGGTTCATGCGAAAACCAAACGAGCCCATAAAAAAGGACCCAGCGCAAAACGGACGTGACGGGACGAAGGGTTCTGAGTGAACTCATGACGTCACGGATCATCATGTTCCTTGGAGAGCTTCCAACCCAATTTGCGCCGGGAGGGGGCCCATGGAGGAAGCATGGAGGAGCATGCACGGGGAGACGCATGGTACGTGAGCTTGGGGGAGACGTTGGAGGAGGGTACGCAGCACTATGCGGTATGTGGTACTTGGGGAAGTCTCCAGGTCTCTGTGTCTCTCGCCGGCTCTGGGCCGTCCTCACGTTGCGCATCGTCCCAAACCAAGAGCGTCGGGACGGTGCCATCCCCCCTAATTCCAAGGTTGCGCCAACTGTCTTGTTTTGGGCATCGGGCGCAGAAACTGTTCAACATACACAAAGACAAAGGAGAGGGGACCAGATGTACAAAGTACCCAGGGCCTCAGGAACGTCTTGGAACGCTGCATGGCCTGCCCTACCATCCATCCAGCCAGCCATGATCCATCCCTCCATCCATCGACCATCGACCGGCTGGCACGTCGTGGTGGTCCTGGTCCCGGTCCTGGTCCTGGACAGTTACCCCTCCACGCCTTGGACCCTGAAGTTCCATTTTTCAAGGGTCCAGACCCCCCACTTGTCACCGCGCACCGGAGCGGACTCCAATCCGCGCCACTATCCAATTGATGAGTTGCAAATTTCTTCCCAAAGGTCGACGTCTCGCGACAGTCAGTCCCCTTTAACCCCTCACAAAACGGCGTCGTTCTACGGCAGCTGCTACTCACATCCAACGGAACAGGGTTCAATGTGCGTCTAGCACGATTTTCAATCAGTTAATCTCCTTGCCAAGCCTGTCAAAACGAAGGAATAGGTCCGACTAAAAAAAGACCTTACGCCTGGCCCTAGGCAACCCCCTCTCCAATTCAGTCCAGGGCGCAACACCGCGCCAACCACGAACGCTCCTTCAATTTACCTACTTCATACCCTGTCTGTCCATCTGGCGAATACGGACATCGCACCGTTCTAGACGAGGCCTTTCCTTTTCCCCTAGTATTTTTCTTCCTCTTCCCTCTACTTTGACAATACCTCCGTGTTCAATCTTACCACACTTTTATTTTCAAAATCACCAACGGACCCGGTCCGGCAGGGTTGCCTTGAAGTGGTCTGACCAGTGTGGGCTCGCCCCGTTCGTTGGCCGAAAAAAACCCAAAAACCAAATCCTTGAGACACCATCGGCCGTGTGCCGGTTTTCATTTTCTAGGGTTCGAATTCTCACCGTCCCGTCCGCCGAGACGGTGTTCCAGTTAGGTACCACAGCGCTTCCGCCTGACTTGGACCTTGAGTCCAGCAAGACCAGGATCGCTGTTCTCCTCACTGACGTCAGTGTCGCTTGCTATTTCGATTTCTTCGATTGCAATCTCGATCTCTCGCCCGAATTTTCCTTCCTCTTCATTTTATCAGGGAGTCGCTCCTGCATCTCTGTGGCCTAGGCTGCTTACTGCTAGACCCGAACCGTGCTTGGCTTAACCGACAGGCATTGTACACGCTCTCTACTTTTCACAATGTCTACATCCAGCATTGGCGGCAACGAGTCGCCCATGGAAGACGACTCCTGTCGTCGCTTCCTAGAACTGGAAACGTTGCGTGAGCGTCGCGAACACCTCACCAATGCCCTTAAAGAGCTCCCCTACGACTTGATCCTCTACCTTGAGCGGGCCAAGGTCCACTCTGATCTGGGCTACCCTGACCTCGCTGTTGGGGATGCCTACCGAGCTCTGCTTTTGACCGACGAAGTTCTCACCGAGGGTTTCGAATACCACGAGCAAGCCGTGGAAGCGTTGCAGTCCCGCCCTCTCGACCCACTACCGTTAGTTCTTGACCACGGCCGCTTGTCAGAGCTCCGAAGCGATTTTATCGATGGCGAGGCTAAGGACCAAGCCGGCCTGGTTGCTCATGTCGCCAAGCTGGCTTCTATCCGATGCTATCAGATACTGTCACTCAGCTCATTGTTGTGCTCGTGTCTGAAGCCGGCCTACGACTTCGCCGAGAAGGGCCTGCAACTGGCCCCTGATAATGAAGAGCTGCTCACCAGTATGGAGCAAGTCGTTAAGATTGCTCGCCAAAGGCTCCGAAAAGATGATATCAACTCCAACATGCTACCGGAATGGGGCATGGTTCGGCGAGAGGTCTATCCCTGGAACGACCACGAGCCTGATCGTTACGGTCCTCAGACCCTCCAGTATCTCAACAACCAGCTCTCCGAATTCTCGCCCAAATGCGAGGTCAGAGTTTCCAATCTCCCTGTTCTATTCGAGGAAGACGACAACAGCCAAGGCACAATAACGTGCGAACAACTCGGGCTCTTCGCCAAGGAAGACATTGCGCCTGGAGAGCCAGTCCTCGAAGAATACTCTCTCTTGACGGCAAATAACCGCCACAAGGACCCGGTCTGCGATGCCTGCGGTGCTGAACTGCCTCCACTGGATGCCGAATCGCCCGCCATCAAATGCGAAGAATGCTACGATACAGTATTCTGCTCTCAGTACTGCCACGACAAGGCCCAGGAACTTTACCATCCAGCAGTCTGCGAGAAGGACGTGGATAATATCAACAAGGACCCCGATGCGTCAGAGGCTGACGAGGCTTTGTACTTTCTGCTTCTAGCCCGTGTCTTGGCTCTTGCGGAACACCAAGGTGTCCACCCCCTTGATCTCCCACAAGTCAAGTATATATGGGGTGACTTTGTGCGTTCGGACTCCCAGAACATCGATATATCGCCGAGACCGATCCCGCCGCCGACTTGGACGCTTCGATTCTCGTTCGAGTACAATGTCAAGCAACCTCTGCACATCCTCGAAAATATGGACGTGGATATCTTTGCGGGGATGCCTGAATACGATCTATGGGTTTTCAATACCCTCTACAGCAAATTCCGCGGCACGGCGTCGAGTCACAAGAACCCCCGCACCGGCCGGCCAGAGGTTGCTGCAGTGCATCCTTTCTGGTGCATAGCCAATCACGACTGCAACCCGAACGTAACATGGGACTGGGCAGGGCGCATCATACTGAGGGCAAGAGAAGAAAAGATCATGGGAGACGAGCCGGGGCTCAAGGCCGGGGACGAGGTTCTGAATCACTACACCGACATCAGATTGCCTGTTGAGGAACGACGCGCGTGGGCAAAGGGAGCTCTTGGCGGTTTGTGCATGTGCTCTCGTTGCCGAACGGAAGCTGCGGCGACGTCTTGAGAGGCATCGCCTGCCTCGAGACGTTTCGGACTTGCACGACGCACCATCAATGATGACGGGTGGAATTTTGCGAAAATCGAGCGACTTGCGAATAGAATATATCGGGTAGACACTTCGGTTCTGGGCGGAGTAGGCAACAAATAAGACCCAGACGACACGTGTCTTGTGGTCGCATCATTTGGTTTTGTACACGAGCGGGAACGGGTATGGAGGGAAGCATACACGACATCGAATCGCGAAATATCCTTTGCCTCTTTCATATCTCTTTGGCAGCCTCTCGACTGTCAGAGACTGCTCTTTCTAACTGCCCTCTATGTCGCGAAATTCTCTCTCACCAGACCGTATGCACAAACCCCGTTTTAGACCGTCGACCATCAAGCCCGATCTTGATTTCCGAGACCAGTGTGCTCCTTCATTCCACTCCAACGTATATACTCTGGTTAGTCGATCAAGTAGCCGTGAACGCCTTGGTGTAATCAATGGTCGGTGGTACCGCATAATTTGCTCCAAGTTTAGGGGACGAATTGGTCAACGTTTAAGGTCGGTCCAAAACGAATTTCAAAGCATCCTGCCCCGCAATTGTGCCGCCCAGTTCTGAGAGGGCTTGTCATGAAGCTGCATGTTTGTCGCTGGACTCGCTGGCAAGTCCACACCGTTGGCCCGTTGGCGCGTTAAAGAAGCCAACGATGTCTGCAGACACAATCTCGGTGATTGCTTGCAGAGTGCGTCTGCATTATGACGAAGTGGCTAGCCACCGACCACTCGGGCCAACTTGACCTGTTGGGCTAGCATGGCCGCACGGCGGGTTCCGACAACTTGCGAAGTTGACTCTCAACTTTTCCCCTCCATTCCCCAACTGCCGACATGCTGTAGAAGATGCGCGCTTCTCGCTTCTCACTTCTTTCGCCATGGTTTTGCTGGCCCATGGGCGTGCATGGAAAACAACTTGGTTGCTGCAGGCTTGCAATGACAAACTGAACCCTTGCAATTTTTTCCGTGTTTTCTGATGTCATTGCGACCATTTTCTTGGCACCCTAATTGCCTGCACACATTAGTTTTGACGTCGTCTGCTTGGGACAACTCTTTTCTGTCCTTGTGCAAGGCAGAGACCCTGGTAACAGGCTTCGCCATGGCACATGACACCTTGTTCCTTCCACCGACGTCGATGTGCCTGCCTCCTTCATCGCGATTTCTATGTTGGCGAATATGACATCAAGCCTTAGGTTCCATGTTTGTTTGAAGTACTATGTGGTCGCAGACGCCCGTCGTGACGTTTGGAGCAATTGAGGTCGGCGGCGCAGACTACTGTGGGGCCGACGTGCAGGAGCCAACTTTGCATGATGGGATATTGAACACCGTCACTGTTGCTGCAAAAACAAGCCTGTGAAAGAGGGCGGAAGTCGCGACGACACTCGGAATATTGTGAAAGCAAACGGGGGAGAAGAATTGTGGGAAAGGGAGCGGAAAAGAAGCGACAACGAGGAAAATCGCACCCAGAGATTCCCCCAGCATTGGACAACATGAATCTTTGTGTTGAGCTGGCATTTGGACCTTCGGCATCCACGGCCACCTCTTCACCCCCTGTTTTCTGGTCTTGAATCGAACGACCTTAAGTACTGTATTCGGGTCCTAGATGTGCGTTTTCTACATTCTTCGTGACGTTGTGCTGGATGGACTGGGCTAGGTGTTAATCGCGGTTCATCGACGAGGACCGGCCCCTGTGAGTTTGGCTGGTCCTTTCGTTAGATAAGAGTATTAAAGTAAGGTGGGTTCGGATACAAGATGCAAGCAGTCTTCGTTCCGTATCATATCAAAGACGCAAACACACGAATCGGACCAGAGTCCTCGCGTGGCCTTGGCGCCTGAGCGCCGGGGAGACATGCAAGTTGTCTGAGTGGCGAGTCTTATTGAAATCAGAGTTGAGAGCGACTTTAAATCCCTAAACCCTTAAGTTCTCGGATACATATCAACTCGTATGATTGAGTGGGTGAGTTGAAAGTCTGTTGTGAAACGGGCTGTATGTTTCAGCTGAGGTTGCTGGCCGAGTTGAGAGGTTGCGGCTGCCCAGGTTGAAGTGTCGCTATTCGCGTAATATTGAATTGGACTAGAGAAACCCTTATGAAGAGCTTTATACAGCGTTATTGCGGCTGAAAGAAGGTAGGTTGGGCTCGTTCTGTGATGATGGAATAGTTGATATGTTGATGCACCAGTACTTGGTAGTTCATTCAGCGTTGAGATGACGTTGCCCCGCTTCTAAAACCGCGACGAGGCCTTTCTCCCAGCGACTCAAACCTGTTCTTAAAGGGGGGGAAATGGCATTTAATTCCTTCTGAGGACCGCAAGCAATGAAACACGCAAGGCATCCGTATCGAATGGGGGAAGATAGCGCGCCGGTCCAGCTCTGCCCGGGACCAAGTCGCTCACGACAACCAACCCATGTTTGACACAACAATGACTAAAGCCGGAAATTATAGTCTCTCCTTTCGGCCTAGTATTTGGAATAGAATATCTATAGGACCACGTTGGACAGGGGTGGTTGGGCGGGGTAGCGAGACAGGTCGTCGGCGATGGAGCCCGCCTCCGAAGGAAGCGGGACGTGCTCAGTGATGGTGGTTCGACATGCGGATGCCGTCATGCCAACTCGCAGTACAAGTGACGAACACCCATACTTATTTGGCTTGCTTTCTGTTAGTACAAGAGTTCGTGTGACATCGCAGCCTTTATAGGCGACGCCATCGTCTCAATCAAGGGTGATCACGGGGATGGTCCGCCCCCTGAGTCGATGGATTGAGGTTTGAACGATCCCTGCAACGAAGCTGTTCGACTGATTATTTCACTCTCTGAAACGCGGTTTCGAGGTGCACAACAGCAAATTTGGTCGTGGATTGGCCTCCTGTCCATCACATCACGCATCTCTTCCTGGATCCACAATGAAGGGCAACTTCTGGGATCGGAGACATTGTCTCTTCAGACGCTGTCTTGTTGAAAAGCGACTCGAGAGTTGATTCAGAGTAATAGCGTCGCATAAATGAGTGATAGAAGAGAAGAGAATTGACAGGGTGTGAGTTGATGATTCGAGACGGTGATGCACCCTTGTTGGGAAGCGGCCGAGCAGGCGATTGGTTCACCTGTCACCCAACATCAACCCAGAAGGCCCAGAATCAAATAACAACATAACCCATTTGAACGATCATTTTTAGTGTTCTGGCCGTCCTATGCTACTTGTAGCAATATATACTTCCTAGACATCGAGGCGTGGGCTGCGAATCCAGGACCAAAGCGATTAGGTCAACCTGTCGAAACGTCACGACGTTTGCAACTAACCGCAAGAACTCTTCAAAAAGAAGACATCGTTGCTTTACCTGCGTTTCGAACAAAACTATCGCTGACCACGGTCACCGCCTTCCTCGTACTGACAGGTAATATGGCCCCGGCACTTTGTTGACGGAAGACCACCTACCCAGGTCAAAGCTAGGCTGTAGCTCGAGGTTGCTAGATCCAGAACTTGTCCCCTCACGACGTATTCAACATCTCTTGCGTCGAATAACGTGGAATCAATAGAGCGGGGTGAGACCGAGCCGATCATGCGGCAAAGACTGTTGAGCCCATGGCCGTCTACTGCTTAAGCGAGAATTAGGATGAGCTCCGTTGTAAATTGTGGGAGCTGATGATACACCATGCCTACGCACATTTCGTTGCGGATATCGACAAAGACATGTCTGACTCTATTTATTTGGAGCATTTACCAGAGACGCTGCTTTTGAACCAGTCCTCGGCATTCCTGATGCGTGGAATGAGGAGCCGCTTTCGAAATCTGATTGAGCATAAGTATGGACCCATCCCAAGTTGTGGGATAGCTTGGGCAGAGATTGACCATGCTTCCTTCCAATTGCTTCAATATCTAGGTACTTAGGGGCAAGTATATTGGTGGATGTTGTATGCAGTCACTTGTATGTCAGCTTCGGAGGATCGTCAATTTGTAACAACGTAGTAATAACACCCAAGTGATAGAGACAAAAGACGTACTTGGAATGTGTGGAATATGGTAAATTCAAACTTGAGTCGTGTGAAAGCACAGAACCATGCCGAAAATTGAAGAGTCTTCAACGAGATGCCGTAATTTAAAAAGGCATCTACTTCCGAAGAGATACCGCCGTCAAGAGGCCACAAAACGAGGAAAATCATATCCTGAAAGATGGAGCTGTTCCTCGGGGAGTCTTCTCAATTTCGAGACATCAAGACACAGACTCAACTTTTCTGCTAATAGTCAGTTGGCGATGCTACTAAAGCCACCCGTGTCACTTTCGCAAGACGTGCTTGCTTTGAAAATTTTCTTAAATGTTGCACACTATTTCTTGACTTCAATTTTCCCATTTATCACAAGATACACCGCTGTCCCTTCTTTGGCATTAATAGACCATATATGTCAGAAGTTGAGGTAGTAGGAAGATGAGTGATTGGGCCGTGAATTTGAGTGCGGAGGAGAGGCTATTGGGCTATTGATGAGCTGATTAAATCGAAAGATTCAGGAAGGCTTGTGCAGATCGGCCTTTCTGCCATTTCCCCTGGAATTAGCGTTCTTTAGGACATGCGAAGGTGGAATGTGGCATCGATGTTTACTTCATGGTTTCATGTACTACTCGTCACCTTCCAAACTCCTACCATCACTCATTTCCCAGTCTTATGCGAGCGAGTCTGTGCCAAATAGGTCCGGAAAAGAATGTCTCATGCTCGTGGCCCCTCGTCGGGATAGAATTTCTTTGTCAAAAATCCGTCGTTTTATCCACTACCAAAGACTAGAAGACAATGCTTAACGCACACGTGGAGGCGGATGTTTGAGCGTTGTGTGACACTATCAGGGAGCATTTGCCCAAAGCTATTGGTCATACGATCAGGGCCATTTATGGGTAGTCAATTTGAGAAGTCTTTGTACGCATGGCGTGTTTTCAGCAACGCCAACTTTGGCGAGTCTGCTGCATCCGTCGCCAATGGAACACTTTTTCTTTCGCTCAAATCAATGGCGAAGGACTCGGATGGAGATGTGAAAGAGCAACTGTGGTAAGGGAGAAAAAGCAAGGGCTGAATGCAGGCAAAAGCGCATACTGCTGAAGTTGGTTTTGAGTCTTGTTTTACTGAAAGTGTTTATATAATAGTCGTGGACGTGCAGCCATATGTAATCGGAAGTCCTACACATCATCATCACTCTCGTTTATCAAGCCAGTCCTATCGCTATTTACTTTGAACTCCAGACCGACTGTAATGTTTCAATCACTATTTTTGGCCCTCGCCGTTTTGGCAGTCGTCCCAATTGCCACCGCCGCCCCGACGGTAGATATAAGCAAAACGAATGCTCTCCTAACAAGCCCATCATCAACGCCCTCACAAGATCTGCTTTCATTCGAGTCATGGATCGACGGCATCAGCACGAATCCCAATGGAACCCACTTGTCGTCTGACGAGGCTATCGCTGCCGCTATTCGGACCCCAATGAGTCGCGGAAAGGGCATCGAGCAGCCAGACTTGCAACGCAAGAATTCTCCCACTATGAATGTTTTCAGGAGAAGTCTGCTTAAGGTTCGCAAAGTTGTCAAGAGCATTAAGCCTGGCGAGAAGGGCTTGAAGACCGACGAGGCCTCAACTGTCGGGATTGGCCTCGAAGGCGTCCAATGCAACACATATCCGAGACAGCTGTCGGTGGTAAGAAACTCCACGGCCCATCAATAACGAAGCGGGGGTCTGATTTGAATCAAAACATAGGTTTCCAACGTCGTATTTTGCATTGAGCATTTAGCCCGAATCGGGAATAAGCCTTGCTACACACAACAGGTCACGAGCTACTGCCAGTCGGGGCCAGACTTCATCCTCGGATGGAGGAAAGTTGATGAGCTGTCTATAAACGCTCCGTCTTGGTAAGAATTTCATGCATCACACGCTGGATCAGCAAATGCAGAAAGCTGACCTCTACATAGTGCAGGGGTTGCTCGAAGTGCTGGTAGGATCATGGATTTCTGCACATTCAATGGTAAGGTGATGGGACAGACAACGGCGTTCGATGACCCTGCCGTGGGTGTGATGATCAGGGCTTTCCCTGAGGGCAAGCTCCCTGACAATATCACGGCTGAGTAGCGGGAACAAGTGGTCTTTTGGGATGCCTTCTGAGAATCATCTCCCTCGGTGGAAACTGTGAAATCCCGGCGAAACCTTTCATGTTTCAATTCTATTCTTCGAGGCCTCATCGGAATCCCTCGTTGACGGTCGCTTTGTACTCACAACTCCCCCGGTTTCGCACTGAGATCTGCCCTCATCGCGAGATGATAGGGTTAACAGTTCAGCGTATTATCTTAGTTCCATATCCTTCTAATTATGCAAGTATGATTCCCTCAATTTACACATTCGATAAGTGAGATATATTGTCCTTCAGCTCAGCTGGCTTCAAGAGATGTGCAAGCAGAAGCATGTATATGCAATAATCGGGGTCACTCTCCTTATAATAACATAACTGGTCATTCAACGCTCATGCCGCACAGACTTTATGCATCTTTGACTCGCTTTCTCTGATCCCCATCAATGTCTACTTCTGCATCACGTCGCCAAATCCACACCCAAAATGGAGCTCTCTAGGCCGTTCACCTGCACAGAATGCTCCCAAACTTTTACCCGAAATGTTAGTTACCATTTGTCCAATGAAGACTCATACTGATAGATTGCGTAGGAAAACCTCGAACGGCACAAGCGCTCAAGTGAGTCCCACTCGTAACCTCCTTTTCTTGCATGATGATACTGAATACCGGCAGGGCACGGAAGCGACAGCCGCAGACCATTTAAGTGCTATACATGTCGCGCACGATTCACTAGGAAAGACGTCTGTAAACGTCACTCTGAGAGATGTCGCGGCGCCTTCGGACGTGTCCTGACGGTACCTGGTGCAGAGGGTGAACCAGAGCAGACGGAGTCAGTCATCGATGAGACCGCACTATCGTCAAATGGTCAAGACGCGGACGATTCGCCTGAAGCGAATGCTTCTGTGGACACAACTGTTGCTATGAATGATGAGACGTATCATGATAGCTCGCCAGAAACAGGCGGAGGGACCGTGTCTCGGGACCTACTATCATCAGAGTGAGTCTGAACACGCTCATTTCTCTCAGCAGGAAATCTGGACTGACTGAGAATCGCAATACAGATTTATGATCAACCACTCAGAGAGTTTCATCGCGGCTTATTTTGAATGCTTTCACCCGTCATTTCCGCTGCTTCATCGCCAGAGTGTAAGGAGAGACATGCCTAAATTGTCAAAACAGATTCTCGTCGCCATTGGTATTCTGTATTCAAGGCCAAGGCATTCCTCTGAAGAAGATGCAGATCTTGTGCTACGGCAAAGTCAAACCTTGTGGCAAGATGGCCAAGAAGAACTTTGGCGACTAGTAAGCCAACCACTCGACATTCACGATCCAATATTAATTTGTGTTGCAGGTGGAGACAGATTGGAGAGAAATCCGAAGGACGTGGGTCATGCAAGCCTGGCTTCTGCACATCATCTACGGCGCCTTCACAGGCAATGCAACCCACTTTGATAAGGCAAAGAAGATGCTGCGTTGGGTGGTGGATGTACGTGGTCTCTCTCTTTTCCTCTCTCATGCGCAGTCTGTAACATCTCTTTTGGCTAATACTTCATAAATACTCCCAGGCCGCCCGAGACCTGGGTCTTTTACGACAAAGCGTCTTCACATCTACTACAAGATTCCATGACGGCGAAGAGCAAACGCTTCATGACCACTGGATGTCCTATGTGGAATCCGAGTCTATGAAGCTTTGCATGTACACCATACTTTTCCTAGACTCTCATATCTTCTCCCCCTGCAACATCCGCCCCCTGACCACACCAATCGAGCTTGACTGGGAGCTGCCCCTCCCAGGTGCTCTGTGGGAAGCGGACACTTCACTGAGCTGGGCCCAAAGGCTCGGTGATGAACCCCGTACCCTATACTTGACTCGGTCAGGCGACGCGTCTGGCATACCATGCCCCACGACGAAATCATTGAATTTGGCCATCCAATCGCTAATGACTGATACCCCAAGTCCTCAATTATTAGCGGCACTAAAGGCTTCTACCATGGCAGCTATTTTCATCCTTACTAGTCTGGAGAGCCTCGTTAGGGAGTTTACGAGGTGTTATTATCAAATGCCGCCCGCCCTGGCCGATCCGAATGCTTTCCATATTCTCACACAATCACAAAACAGACAGGTCAGCGCAGCTTTGCGATATGCAGCTGAGATAATCACAGCGCAGCTCGCCCAGGCAAACAGTTCAAACTGGCACATCTTGAAGTTTGCAGATCGGATAGCTCTGTCCGTGAAACTCGCTCTCTGCAAGCCCGACGACCTGTTGATTGGCGGTATCGTTGAGAACAGTGTGGTAGCCGGCCTGACCACTGCCACACATCTCACTTTGGGTCTTCAAGTCGGCGCTCGGAGATCATTACAGAACCTTCTCCGCTACAATTCCGGAGACGATGGCATGCTGGTCTTCCTTGACGACCTCATGGATGTTCTCTCCAGCGTCACGAGTCTTGATAAGCAAGACCCCTTGCGTGAGGTGCCATGGGCTACGGTGGCCACGTACAGAATCCTCCTAGCCATCTGGAGATTACTGCGCTGGGCAACCGGGGAGATGCGCCGAAAAGCAGGGTCTCGAACGACGGTTCGCAGCCGCTTCGAGGCCTCAACAATAGTCTTCAATTCCATCCTGGAGGTAATCAGCTCTCCGGAGGAACTCGAATCGCAGACCCGACGTCTCTCGAGGCCGGCTCGGGAGACTACCGCATTGGGAATGACCTCGGACGACAGCGAGGCACGCTTCATGGAGACGGTGTTGCAGTTCTGGAAGGATAGGCCGGTGTGGTCCATGGGATCCTTCATGACGACGGTGTTGGAGGAGATTATCTCGGCTGGCGGCATGGCTTACGAGGTAAGGGGCGCGGAGTGAAGCGCGCTGGGGTCAAGGTCAGGGGGGTTGGGACGCGCTGAGATGGGCCCAGCGGAGCTCCGCCGCCGCCGCCTCCGCAATCTTGAGCTGTATATCTTGCACTACAAAGAGACGATCGAGAGGTCACTTGCAACCAACCTGTGACATTCCGAACCCGCCGAGACACTTTCCATTCGTCTAAGCCACCAAAATATCTGAATCGCCTTCGTTTTGTTATCCGATAAGAATCAAGTCCCGTGGATATCGACCACCGCCAAGCAAGATGCCGGAAACAGAGAGCTTCGGATGGGTAATCTCATGGGCCCTGGCTCTTATCACTGCTCCATGCTCACGTATCATCTAGTATGGCCTGGGGTCCATGGGTATCGGCATGGCGCTGAACCTCCATAACCACCTAGCAGCCAATGGTCTACCGCCACTTCGGTACAGCAACCGGACGCTGTCCCGAGGCGACGCCCTCCGAGAGGTTGGTGGATTGCCGGAACGGGACTTTGAAACGCTTGTCCTCAAGTCCACAATTATCTTCACAATGGTACTATGCACTGTCTACTACGACCGCCGTCTGAACTAACCCGTCAAAGATCTCCAACGATGAAGTCCTGGAGAGCCTGATTTCGAAAGCTCTGAGTACCTGGAGCGGCGCTCTGCTGGAAGGCAAGATATTTGTGGACACATCAACCGTTCACCCGGATACCGTGGCGAGATGCTCTGAGCGTCTTGCCAAGGCTGGTGCCTTTTTCATCTCCTCGCCCGTATTCGGCGCCAGCCCGATGGCGGCTGCTGGGAAGCTTATCTTTGCCATGGCTGGACCCTCCGCAGCCTTGGAGAAGGTTCGTCCGTATGTTATTGATGTAATGGGAAGGAGCATTATCGACATGGGCGAAGATGTCCGCAAGTCGAGCCTTCTCAAGCTATCGGGGTGAGTGACATCTCAATCATCCTCGAACAGTAATTGCCGCTAACGCCGAAATTCAACAACAGCAACATCTTCGTCATTGGCTTCCAGGAGCTGACAGCAGAGGCTCAAGTCTTTGCGGAGAAGACGGGGCTGGGCACCCGCCAGATGGAGCAGTTTATCAGCGACATGTACGGCCCTGTCATCGAGAGCTACTCCAAGCGCATGACTACAGGGGCGTACGCGCCGCCATTGGGTACTCCCCCGGGGTTTGCCGTGACCCTTGCAACTAAAGACGCAGGCCACGCGATCAGGATTGCCAAGGAGAATGGAACTCGGATCCCGACGATTGAGACGGCGTTAGCCCGCATGGAGGCTGCGCGAGAGTTTGCTGGGGACTCTTTGGATAGCTCTTCTGTATACGGTGCAGCTCGGCTTGAGGCTGGCTTGCCTTTCTGGAATGAGAATAGCAGACAGTCAAATTAAGAAAGCGAAGAGTCATCTTGTATTTTGGAAGATTGCTGTCTGAGTCTTTTCACGAGCAATCGGTTCTCTTGATATTGGAGTATCGACTCAATTGTGAGACAGTGAGAGACCACCATGATAACTAAACAAGCTAAAGTTATCTCAGAGAATCTGGCATCATTGTCTTCGGATGCCTGGTCCGAGAGTCAATGTCAACTCTGTCTGTCTTCTTCGGTGCCTGTCTATCGGAGACTTATCAATGATTACATCCGGCATTCGGGTAGCTTCTTCACCCCATTCAACCGACAAGATATCTTTAGTCATGTACACATGCACAGCTCCCCTTCCGCTGCAATCTACAAGGATAGGGGATCCCAGTCACCTCCCCAAGAATGCGGAGAGTTGGCCGAGGCGACGTCCCAAAATGCGGGGGCGGAGCTCCGTCGACGCGCATTTGACACTATGGACCCGGAGATAGCACCAAGACTAAAACAGAAATCTCCTATCATTGCCCCAGACTAACGCGATAGCCAACCATTGACATCTAGTCATGGATTCCAACTTCCTGGGTAGGTAGAGAGAGAGAGCCCTTGCCGGATGCACTGTGATCAGCCCGTCCACGTCAAGATGAAAGGTATGCCTTGGCCGTGACTGTTTCCCGAGTGACGGGACACGTATAAACTCCGAGCCTCCCTGACAAATTGCAACCTGGACTTGAGCTGCCACGTCCCGTCTCAAAGGAGTTGAGCTGGGCTTTTACAACGTTGGTCTTCCGACTGTTTCTCTCAGTCATTTGTTTCCATCTTTTGGGCCTTCATTCTTCAGGGTCCAGGAAGCATCAAACATCGAGTCAAACTTTTACGAAAGGTGGAATATCCCGCATCCTCATTCAGCCTTCACACAACAGCCTTCACAATGTCGTCCAACAACAAGAACAACAAGGACAAGACAACCAGCCCAGATGGAGGCGACGTCATCCGAACTCAGACCGACTTGGAAGACGGCAGCATCGAGAAGCTCAAGCACGGCGAAGTCGACCCTGCCCTTGCCTTCGTCAACGGCGAACAGGTCCAATTTACCCCTGAAGAGGAGGCTGCTGTCCTTCGGAAGATCGATTGGGCCTTGATGCCTCTACTTTGCTGGATCTACGCGCTGCAGTTCGCCGACAAGACATCCCTCAACTATGCCTCGCTCATGGGCATCCGCGAGGACACTGGCCTGGATCCCCACAGCCAGCAGTACAGCTGGGCATCGAGCATCTTCTACGCCGGTTACATTCTCTGGGAGTAAGTAAACAATAATCATGTCATCACATCGTGCATGTCGCTGACTCACTCAAGATTCCCAACAACTTACCTCCTCCGAGCCCTGCCCCTCGGCAAGTACACCTCTGCCAACATCACCCTCTGGGGCCTCGTTCTCGTCTGTCACATCTTCGCCTTCAACTACGCCGGCCTCCTCTCCGTGCGCTTCTTCCTCGGCGCCCTCGAAGCAACCGTCACCCCGGCCTTCGTCATCCTCACCTCGGCCTGGTACAAGCAGAACGAACAGGCCAAGCGCATGGGCTACTGGCTCTCCTGCAACGGCGTCGCCCTCCTGACCCTCGGCCCCGTCGCCTACGGCCTCTCAGGGGCCCACAACACCGTCCTCGCGACCTGGAAGGTCCTCTACCTCGTCCTCGGCCTCCCCACCGTCATCACCGGCGCTTACTGCTGGTGGTTCATGCCCGATAACCAGACCAACGCCCGCTTCCTCACCCACCGCGAGAAGGCAATCTCCATCGAGCGCATCCGCGGCAACTTCCAGGGCATCGGCAGCCGCAAGTGGAAGTGGGACCAGTTCTTCGAGGCCTTCCGCGACCCCCGCACGTACCTCTACGTCCTCTTCTCGCTGCTCATGAACATCCCCAACGGCGGCATCACCGCCTTCGGCTCCATCATCATCAACTCCTTCGGCTTCAACTCGCGCCTGTCCCTGCTGCTCAACATGCCCACCGGCGTCGTCGACATCACCTGCAAGCTCCTCTTCACCTACCTCTCCGACCGCCTCCTCGACCGCACCCTCTTCGCCTTCATCGCCATCCTGATCCCCATGGTCGGCGGCATCCTCATGATCGCCCTCCCGCTCACGAACCAAGCCGGTCTGCTCGTGGGGTACTACTCCATCGGCGCGGCTGGCGCGAGTTGGTGCCTGATCATGGTCATGATCTCCAACAACACGCTGGGCTACACCAAGAAGGCCACCGTCAACGGCCTGCAGATCCTGGCTTACGGCGCCGGCAACTGGATCGGCCCGCAGACCTTCCGCTCCAACGAGGCGCCCAACTACAAGAACGGCAAGCTGATGGTGGCCATCATGTACGGTCTCGCGGCGTGCACCATCGTCGCGATCCGGCTCGTCAACATCTGGGAGAACAAGCGGCGCGATAAGAAGGCGGCCGAGCAGCCTGAGACCGTCGCGACGGGGACCGAGTTCTTGGATTTGACGGACTTTGAGCAACCTGGCTTCCGGTATGTGCTTTAGAGAGAGGGTTGTGCCCTTGGGTTCCATGTAGATAATAGAGGAGGATCAGATTTGACACGATATTTGGTATAAGAAAGTAATTGCCTGCTCTAGACCATACCGGCTGCACATCATGATGTACTCGTGTGATTGTTGCACAGGAAAATTATGTGGGTGTGTAGGCTGTCATATGATTTCGACTCTGGTACGGCTTGCTTGACACAGTGGCCATTCGTGGAGGTCTTGTTTACAGGCGCATTACTTGGTCAGGCCTGCGCTGTGAGCGTCGGGTTTCCAACGCTGCTTGCGAGAAAAGTAGATAGGCAGGCGGGCATTATCAAGGCGATAACAAGAAATCGAGACTGTGGAACGGTGTACGAAGGTTTGAAAAGATTCCTACCCATCTTCGCGGCAGTTTTGCAAGGAGCGAGTCGACGAGGCATAGTCAAGTCCACGGCTGAGACGATCTTCTGCTGATGCGGCAATCGAGACCCAGCAGCACAGACGTCAAGAAGAACTGTCGAGGCCACAGCAGCGTTACCAGAGCCATCAGAGTAGGCTCAATCATCTTTCCTCCAAGCATGAGAAGACTGACTAAAGCGCTCTACCCGTCTACAACTCACGGATCATGCAGATAGGGCCGACAGGTTCTCTTTGACCAGGCAGCCTCGCACGCCGGCAACGTCGGCACCGGCGCGATACCAGCACGATCTTCGTCTTGCTGAACACGTAATTCAGTCCTCTGCTGCTTCTTCCACGAGCGCAGAGTAATGCGAAAAATACAAGGTAGCTCGGACCGCGACGTCCTCCTGCCGGATTCCATCTCGCCCCCCGGGCAAGTCTTGCGCGCGGGGTTCCTCAGCCGTCGAGCATTGGATATATCAGGAGTACCGGGCTCGGCCTCGACTGCCATCGCCAACAGTGCTTCGACGCCAGACGTTATCAATCATCGTTCGAAGGAAGGATGCCTCCCACATCGGCTGGTCTCATCGTCCTGCATCTAAGGCAGCTCATCGTGGGCGCGGGTTTCTATGAAACAGAACGGTCGATCGGGAGGCTAAGGCGATGTCGCGGCCTTACGCATACCGCGGCTGTCGTTCAACGTGCATTCAAAGACGCGTGGTGTTCAAAAGGTAAAGGAGACTCATGGATTGCAGCTGTGCTTCTATAGGAACTGGTGCGCAGGTCTCGAGGTGGCTGCGGGGCAAAGGATCCCCAGCGACGAAGAACGCGACGCTTGAAAGACGAGAACGCGGGATCCAAGAGCTTCGAGAAAGAGCTGCCGAGCATCTCAGTAAGTGACGGTATCCCTCACATCAACATCGGGAATTGTGACAAAGAGGATAGCTTCAGTCGCACAGGGCACCGGATCAAGAGATGCGGCATGGCTGCAGGAACTCCCCGAGAAGGGCAGTTTCCGGTGGATTCTGTGTGCGACTTCACAGGCACGATGCGCTGTTGACCTTGGTCATCGTCCTGAATTCGACCCTGAGGGCAGCACGTCGGCATTGCAGCGCTTCTAGAGACGGCACGAATGTCGCCTCGGTTGCGGACGAGAATACGGGGTCGTAGGCCAGTCAGAGACAAGGACGCCGGTGATAGACTCAGTCCGAGTACACGCAGAGAATCAGATTCCACATACAAGGAGACGGCCACACAAGGTCACCGGTGTTTGGCAGGTCACAGTCCTCGCCCAGCCAGGCACGCGACTTAATGTGATTGTACGTGGGAAGGTCGAGGTGCTCCTATTCGAAACTGCGGTCAAGACTAACCTGCACTACAGAAGAGATAGCGCGGAGTGCCAGTATTTAGGACACATGGTCCTCCTCAAGACTTGCCAAGTGGACGGCCCCTCAGGCGTGGGCTTGAATTGTCCACGAGAAGAATGCCATCCCCAGACGGCGGTCGACTGAGGCCAGCCTTGCCAACCGCGCAGTATCAACAGCAAACCGGAGTCCACTACTGGCATTATTGCACTTATTCTCACTTTCTCTCGCAAATGGCGCACTGCTGAGTCTTTGAGCAAGACCCTCGTTGATCAGGAGGCCTCACGCGAAAGCACGAAGGGCACACAGGGAGACCAGCTCGCGGCCCTGAAGAATGCAGATCCCACGAATAACCCAGATTCGACTTGATCGCAGATCAAAATGATCTCCCTCGTTGAGGGAATTTCAGCAATGCAGGTGCGGAGACCTGCAAGAAGGCCTGCTGGACGATAGAAAAACGAAGCAACTCCAAATGCTTGGCGTCTCATGGGGTGTGAGCCGCCGGGTCATTTCGGAGAGTTGATCGCAGCTGCGCGAATGGAGACGATGAGAAACAAAAATAGCTGGAAACGGAAATTGGAAACAAACAAAAATCCGCGATAGGAGAAAGGGGTTGGGAGTTACAGCTATTTTCTGCAAGTGGAGCTGTCCTTTCGTCGTGTCACTGGACCACTGGAAAGGCCAACATGACCCTGTGCGACGTTCGCAGGCCTACGGAATCATCAACTGTTCCAGAGACCAGGATTTTTGGTC